GCCAACAATTGATTTTTTGCAGTAAGCTGACACTGGATACACACATAATACTGGTGGAGGTTTTAAACTACTTGGTGTCATGTGTAATAGCGCTGACTTCAATGGACTGTTCATGTTAGAGATGCGGAAACTGATCGGTAATAATACAGAAATCTAAATATTTATATATGCTTATGTTCATTCACTCCCATAGCCAAATGGTAGTGTGTGTATATATATATATAGAGAGAGATACAATGTAAGTATACACGTTGACAGGTTTTCAGTGACGTTTCCTGAGGGCGTATCTGTCATCATTCTGTAAAGCAAAACGCACACGTGCCTAACCCACACGATTCTACTACATCCATATTAGTCCGGTGGTAATTAATTTTCTTTATATATCATTTCAGCGTCACTGCATTGTTCTGCACATGCAGCTGGATGGTAAATACGCACACCCGTTGTTATGCTGCTAGTCGTAAAACAGAAACAAGTACTTTACTTCGTATCAACAGGTATCTCCCATATTGCACTCTTTTTCGGACGGTGATGCTACAGCAATGTCACGCTTCCGGGAGTGCAAGGTGCCACCCTGTGAAATACATCTGAGGTTAATTATAGAAGCTAAAGAACAAGATGCTTTCATCACTGTCTTGGAAGCCTTTAGAACCCACTTGCCATCTCACGTTAACTGAATAGGGTTTTCAAAAAGAAGAATCTGATTTCATTTGCATGCATATCTCAATACCAAGTACAGACTAACTTCTTTGAAGTTCTTCTTCAAAGCATCTTCAAAGGTGGGCCTCTAGTTTATAGGGAGATATACATGTAAATAAAATCAGATTCAATTAACTTTTTAATTTGCTTCTTTAACAATAACATTGTTCTTATTAGAACTCTGTTACCCTCGGAGCACTTCAGTCAACAAGTATATACAAACGCTACCACTGTAACGCTTGTTGGTGTTGTCAGAAAAAAAGCCTTGTAAAGGAAGAAAAAAGCATTTTCCGAACGGTGAATCATTACCACAATACAAAATTATGCAAAAGCTCAGCTAAATGGAGATAATCCAAAACACACTTTCTTTTCCTGGTGAACGTATGATATCTTTATTTGATTCCAGGCAACAGCGTTATCTGCAATAGCATTTGTCGTGTCAAGTCAAGACCACACTACCTTTGATTCTTTGGTCTTAACTTACTGTTATCTTTTATAAGAAATTAATTATTCACTATAAAATTACTTTCACTATGAAAACATACAATAAAGTCTGACGCTTTCCCAATTATCTGCCCTGTAAGCCCTGCTAAATCAGATACAGAAGTAATAGAGACATTTTAATAATAATTCTAATGTCATGTAGTGTGCAGTGGTAACAAATGTACTTGGAGCAAAACATTGCCTGCGTGCTAAAACCAATCGTAGGTCTTTTCTGGGGTGTCCCAGGGAAACCGCACGCTGTTTTTATAAGAGTAACTAAGTTATTGTACTTGGTCCCTCATACGGAGAGACTAAACTGAAGCAGGGTTGACTGTGGAATCCAACTGCTTTCTGAATATAACTGATTTTATTTTAAAAATGCTTGTATTAGTGACAGAAAGATTTTCCCTTTATTTAAAAACAGCCCATTAGACACTCTATTTCAATTGCTGTGGTAGAAACAAAGGATACCTAGTCACCTTCCATCCTAACTGTCAAACCTCTTTGCTTCATTCTGCGCGCACAGAACACCATTAATCACAGGGGAAAAAACAAACCACACCTCTATATACAAACTGCAAGGTGGGTACATTTACTTGCTTATACAGCATGTGAGAAATGAGCTGAATGAACACAAACATTTCCAAAGTTACCCTGCAGAAACAGTATTTATCACATACAAATCTCCCAAATATCTACACAAATCTGTCTGTAAATCTTGCTTTTTCCAGTTTTTGTAGCCCCCCCATATATACGCACACACATATATGTATGTCTGTGAACGAGGATTCTACTTGGGCAGCCCTATGGCTGAGAAATTGTGACTGGCTTACAGCCTGTGTGAATTTTGCTAGCTCTTGTTTCCCTGTAATGCATGCCAAACTAGATATCAGAAGCCTTTTGTATTAAAGAATCAAAAAGATGGTAAACAACTGTTTCTGCTTCTCTACCTTTCCCTTAAGTCTTGTACCAACACCTTTTTGTTTAATGTGTCTCCAATGTTACAGTTTTCTTTCTCTCTTCTCGCTTGTGCCTTTTTTCCTATGAGACTTAGAGCTTACATGCAAACACCCTTAGATTGTGTATTCCCACTGCCAGCGTATCAGCGATAGTCTCTGGTACTCCCGTCTCTTGCAACAAAACTGTTTGTAATGTGTCAGAACTGATCCAGCTCCTCAGACCCAAGCTGTGTCCTGCTGCAAGGAATTACTTTCACTGCAGAATGGCCCCCAGTGGACATTTGGTCCCTGTTGTCACCTGAGAGTCATCGCAAATGCAGTCTCCCTTTGACAGCACCCCTTTTTGGACACACAGCGGCCACTGAGTCTCACAACTGCAGCGTCCCACGCAAGTCCTGATGAGGCACTGTTATATCCAATAGCCCCTTGAGTCTAATTCAAGATCCGTAAGAAGGTTCAGGATCGGGGTACAACCGAAGAATGCTTTTTGGTATCGTAAAAGGTCTAGACAGAGGTAGGGAGGCACCCTAGCTGCACAGCTGTTAAGTTATGCGATAGCTTTGTATCGACACGTACCCTTGCAAACACCAGTAAAGCTTTTGGCCAACGTTTTCACTCTAGGTGATGCGGATTTTACCACCCTTCACAGCTGCTGCGTAAGCAACATCTGAGAGTTTTCATCAGAAAACGTACAGTTTTGAACATCTTTCTTCGGTAAAAAGTAAAATCTCTTTGCAAGTAGAAGAAATCCAAGTTGACAGACAAATTGTAGAGATAGCTGGTAAGTTCATCCCTCTAGGCAACAAACTACCAAAAACGCCTGGAGCTATCAGCCATAGCTAGGAAAGATGTGCCAAGCATTCGAGTCCACAAAGCCATTAATGACAGGGAGCACTGAAGAGACAAGTCATGACTAGAAATGCAATTGTTTGAGTTCCTCTACAATAGAGACAGCGCTACGAAATAGACTTGGGGGGGGGGGCTGAACTTATTAATTACTAAGGCTAGGTAGGCACGCCCTGCTAATGTTGCCTGCCTTGAAAATTAAGTTCCTGCAAGCCAGCTACTCAAGACTGGAATTAAGGTCGGAGAAGACAGAAAGCTGCATCAAACTAAACGCGGCAGCAGGATCCTCCTCACTTAACTCGGACCAGTAACCCCCCCCCGGGAACGCCTGTCGCGGGGATGGGGCTGTACGACAGAGGAGTGGGTCCTGGCTGTTTATCAGGCCGCTTTTCTACCCCTGCTGCTTCTCAACAGAGAGCTCAACAGCCGCGAAGGGAAAGGCAGGGGAAGAGCAGCCAAGGCTCCAAGAGCTGCAGCGTGCGAAGGGATGCCGCCACCTGGAGTACAGGGCCTGCCACTGACGCGAACCTGTCGCGCACCGAACTGCGGCTTCGAGCCTACAAAAACTATTCCCGTTGGAGCTCCGGTACCTCTGCAGGTGGCAAAGGCAGAGCTCCGATGGGGCATGCTCCCATGGGGCATGACACGCACTGCTGCCCAGGAGGCGGCAGTCCCTTTTCCAACCACTCTGCTCTCCCTCCGTTTCTCCCATGTTCGAGCCACGGAATGTGCCGTTTCACCGGCATTTCCAGCACGGCCAGGGACGCCTCCGTGAGGCGCCTGACACGCATGTGCACGCTGCAGGGCTCCAAGGCGGCGACGCGGCCCGCAGCCCCGCGCCGTGCCCGCCGCGGAGGGCTCCCGCCCCTGTGGAGACACCGAGGCCAGAGTCCGCTGCCCGCCTCGGCAGCGGCTGGGGCCCCGCCCCCCGGGCGCCC